CCCCCCCCCCCCCCTCCCCCACAAACGCTTCCATCGGCCCCCACCAGCAACAAGCCTGACTCTCACCCATTCAAAACCTCCCACCCTCCTTCAGTCAAACTCCATGGCATCATCCCCTCCTTTGAAGAGGGTAAAGGCATCATTGAAAGGAAGACTTAATTGTGGTAGATAAAAGATATAGAGATACCAGAGTCGAAATATCGAACTATACTAGAGATAGAGCTTTCTCCATCACATTGAAATGGGAATCTTTGAAATGGCTGGTAGCCACCTTTAAAACCTTCCTTATTGCCTCAATGACAGAAAAGAAATGTTTGTCGAGGTGGCCCTCCTACACAGTACCAGGATCTCAACTCGATTGGGACTTGTTGGTTTTTATCATAATTGAGTACGAGAGGAGGCAATCAGTCTCCCTAGTCAGTTTACTTTATTACTTGGCTGTAGGGGACTTTCTTTTTCTAGATACCATGGCCATGAAGCATTATGTGGTGTTCTTTAAGACATGGTGCTAGAGTTCGGATGGTTGTTGGTATTAGTTTCACCAAGATCAGGGGACGTCTTCTGCCTCTGTCCTGTTCTGATTTTCCTAAGGAAGAGTGTCAAGCTCCGTATTTGAGATGATTAGCTCTAACTGTCGGAGAGAGATCACGATAGGAGCTACATATGTAAAAAGTACACAACAAAATAAGAAAACTCACAAGTGCAAGTAGTATTTATAGGCTTTATTTTCAAAAACCAAATAGTTATCAAATGCGGCTTAAGTCATTCTTGGAGCTATTTTACCAATTTCATATTAAAGAGGGAAATCTAACCCAATTATCAAGTGTGCCTAGAATGCACTATTTCCTCTAGAAACTCTCAACGTAACCTTGGTGCTGCAGTTACCATAAAATAGCTTGCAACTCTCTTTGCTAAAATAACATGTAAGGCATTCCCCTTACTAGGTTGATATTCAAAAGCACAAGCGAAGGTTACAGCCTCACATTGTAAGACAAAATATCCAGTCCTTAATCTCTACTACAGGCACAGCACACATGTATACTTCCCCCTAACAGTACAAGCACGGTATAATTAGCAGTTTGATGAGAATTTTCATATATGACCTTCCTAGTGTAATTATTAGCCATAGGGTCTCCGTGAACAATTTTATGAAAGTGGATGCAAATGCGTTCTTACATTCTCTGATTATGGTCTAAATGATATTTTGGCTAAGTGGAAGATCTTTCCGAAGTTCCACCTCTCAGCTTAAGGACTTCATCTCTCCACATTGGTAATATTTCATTTTATCAATTAAATATTGGTTGCAAGTATAAATTATCTTGCTCACTTTTCTTCTTATTTTCAAAGAAGTACATGTGCCTTTTATAATACAAAAAAGTTAACTAAATCCTCGAATACTAGGTAACAACATAGAAAAATAGGGAGGTTAACTAATTCTCTTATTTAATGGACTACACAAATATTCCTTAAACTAAGACTAAAAATTACACAAATATTCCTTAAATAAGGTCATTCCTTCAACGGTATCCCTAAATTGAAAAAAATTTAAGACAATATAATTGATTCTAACACATTCAATGGTGAAAACCAACTGTAGCTACCTGTTCAAGCAATCAGCATTTCCTTTAAGCATCATTTTAGCCGTTGATGGTTCCAGCTTCTCATCCACCATAAGGATACATATACCACGTTTATCAATTCCTCTCCGCCCAGCTCGACCACTCATTTGTATATACTCACCACTTGATAACCATCTAAATTTATCTCCATCGAACTTACGGACATTACTGAAGACAACAGTTTTTGCTGGCATGTTTAAACCAATGCTGAAGGTCTCTGTGGCAAACAAACACTAAAGACAATGTTTTAATGACCCCATTAAAAATATTCATTGACAAAATGAAATCAAATATTTTTGGAGTCTATAAGGTACAAATGTTAATTTCTTTGGCTCTTTAAATGCAATTTTGTTGGAAGAAGAAATACCATGACAAGAGTAATTCATTAGTAGTTAGTGCACAAAGCATCTTATTTTCGTTTTTTTTTTTTTTTTTTTTTTTTTTTTTTTTTTTTTTTTTTTTTTTTTTTTTTTTTTTTTT